TTTCTTAGAAGTGAGGCCCATCATAAAAAAGCCAAAGTGAAGTTTTTAAATCTACTATCAAAGTTAAATGGAGGAAGCAATCTAATTGATTAAACCACAGTTTCAGGATACAAAATGCACACATGGCCCAGACATTTTTTTTAAAAGAATGAATGCTTTCTGTTCAAACAGAATGAATACGAGGGAGTTCAAGATGTGAACTGACTTCAAGAACATTGCTCTAGTCACTCCTGCAACTCCACCAAAGGCAAGGGCAAAGTCTTCAAGGGTCTCAATGTGTCACTGGCCAACTGAGGCTCATGTTGATGGCCTCCTTGAGTACTGAGGCTTCCATCAGTTTTTTTTAAACACCCTCTACTCAAATAAAGGTCTAAGAGAAAGTAGCTGGTGGAGCCAGAGATACTGAGACCACTTGAGTCTCTGCTCTGTCTCTAAAGGGAGAATGCTGACCTGTACAAGGAGAGGAGAGGCTTCAGTGATATTATATGAGCAAAGTAGCTTGGTACCTGGACTAGAGGAGAAAGCCCATGGTTGGTAGTAAAGAAAGGATAAAATCCAAAGGAAAAATCCAGCAAAACATAGGAGTTAACCTTTCTGGTTTAGGTCTGGGGGTGTTTTTCATTGGCACCTAAGAGGTGCCCAAGCCACCAAGGAGACTTGAAGTGCTAAGTTGCTGGCCTCCTCTGTCGTCACACCATGGGAGACAGAAGGGGGCACAGCCTTTGGCTTCAAGAAAGTGGCTGACAAAAGGAACAAGGCTCATCCAGGTGACTTTAGAGATGACTCAACTCTCCACGGGTGGTCTGGGATCCTGTCAGAAAGCTTGTCACATGGAGCAACCTTGATGACAATGTTTCTCATCCCTAGGGAGGGTTGATGAAGTACACTAACCCTGGGGTGCAGAGCTTATTTTCTTTATGGCAGGCTGCAGCTAGACTGAGCCTTCCCCTTAGGCATCTATTCGGGGCTGTGGAAGGAGAGAGGAGCAGGCGTGTGGGGACATGATGTTCCCAGAGCCCCAAAGACAGAATCCTCTGCCCATAAATTCCCCAGCTTCCTCCAGAGTGAGACGATGAGGGGATGGACTATAGTGAGGAAAACAAGCAAATGAGAATTAGGTCTCATTTATGAGAACTTAGTAAGATGCATCTCAGGAACGTGGGTACAGTGTATAAAGGAGACCCAAACAGCTTACAACTGCCACCTTTGATTGCTTGATCCGACAGCAAAGAGTAGGCTTTTTACAGATGGGATTTCTTTGTTACAGTCTGTTCAGTCCTCATCCACTCCTGGATTGGACTTTGTACACCAGGGTATATGTGTGTGCATGTGTCTGTAGGTTAAGAAACCAGAAAGAGGATCACGAAAGGGAAAGAGGAGATGGGGGAGGGCAAAAAAGAGAATATAATGGATGCACATGACATGAGAAGCAGAGGGAGGGGCTACTGGATGGGGGGACCGGCAGGAGGGAGGCGAGAATGGGGGAGGGGTGGATAACGAGGTCTAGGAAGAACAAAAGTGTACATAAAAATGTCACAATGACTATTTTATATGCTACCTTTAAAAACTAATAAAGTTTTTATTTGGTGGGTTGAAGATATTATCCACCCACACTAATGACTGACTCTATACACAGGAAGGGAGAGAGGAAGAAGAGGGAACAATAGGTAGCGAGGGCCAGCAAACCCATCTCAGCTGGAATGGGAAGTATATGAACCTCAAGTGCCACAAAGGAAGAAGCCATCCCACCACAGCTGCTTCCGGCAGCCAGAGTGTACGGCTTATTACATAGGAGAGCCCTCGTCCCCAGGTCTGAAGCCTACCCCGCCCAACACCATCACAGGCCCCCTTCTCTTCCCACAGAGTGGACATAGGGGCCGGGCAGCCTCCATTGTCTCCTGAGGGATGAGAGCTGCCAGGAAGCAAGAAAGGACCCTTGCTCCTCTACTTCCCATCACACACTGAATTCTTAAATGGAAGATGCGGGAAGAAAAGAAAAGGGCGAATGTCTCCACTGAGCCCAATAGACAGGTACATCCAGAAAAACAAGTGCGGAGTCCCAGATGGGCTCTGCGACTGGGACGGGTCCTCTTTGTGTTAAGACTTATTTCTTGATGGAGACTGGGTAGCCTGGTGTGAGACAAGGGATAAGGAAGAGCAAGCCTGTCAACCCAGACAAAAGCCTTTGGCAGAGCAGATATTCTAATGTCAAAGTCAGGGGTGGAGACTGTCCCCTTGTGACAGCTGAGAACATATGCCCTCCCTATAAATCCCTTCTGACTCGGCCTTTAGACCTTTGTACTTCTGTAACTGATAGCTGATCTCTTTCCTTGTGACTTGATGTGTAGGGCATGGGGAACCAGAACTCTAATTAGCAGCATGGCCTATTGTCCCAATAAGGCCATCCTTCAGGGGACAGGAAAAAAAGAAAAAAAGAAAAGCCAGGGTCCTTTTTAGGAAGTGAGAGGGTACAAGCTAATATTGAGAAAAACAAAAGCAACCTGGGTTCCACTGACAAGGGGAAGCCAGATCCATGAGTTAAGAGTATCCGGAAGAGACGTATAATCTACACTGTCCAGAGGGGACATTCAAGGCTTGGGTGGGTGGTGCAGCCTCGAAAGTAATCTTTCCAGATAAACAGGAAGAGACAAAGAGTGTGGACACCCACAAGCCTGTATGGTGGTCTGGATGATCGGAGGGTATAACTCCTGCTGGTTTTGCCAAATATCTGCACAGCCTAAATTCTGATCACCTCTGAGTAGACTGGAGACGAAGGACAAACAGAACAGCAGACGGATGGACAGGAAATGGTGGTACCGAACCCATGGTTCAGCTTGGGAGCAGGAGGGAAGGTACAGTGGAAGAGTCTAGACTAGAGGCCCTTCAGCCATAGGAAGAAGGCTTATCACTTGGGGAACTGAGAGTCTATGGAGGGCAGAGCCTCAGAGGCCATCCATCATTGCTCCATCTTGCACGACCATTTGAAAGGAACAGGAAATCTGAGACCCTTACTCAGAAGTCCCTGATAATCTTTTCTCACACAAGATTGAGTCCAGGACCAAGTCACCCCAGACATACGTCTGACAGGCACTTTTAAAATGACAACGAATGCTATGATTTTCAAAAGCTCTGCCAGTGGATGGCTATCCAGAACTTAGAATCTGTGGTATGAAGAAAGGTGAACTGCAAACTGTTCATCTAGAAATAAGTCTGAAATGCAGAGGTATTTAATTACTGAGCTTTCACAGTTCTCCCTGTTTGATTTTTTTTTTAAGCTGGTAAACATTTTATTGGATTTCTGCTTCGAAAGAAAGCGACTGTAAAGAAAGACGACAAAACATCTAAGCTTCTGCACCGCACGGTCTACTCTGAAAGGGGAGACAGGAATGTTAGGGGATGGGGGGAGCTTAAAAGGAAAGAAACACTAGCTAGGCGGGCCTCCTCTTTTTTAAAAAACCTTACGTCTTTTTCCTCCCCCATTCATAGCTCTAGGCCCTTTGTTTGTATAACAGGCCATTACAATCATACGGGGTTCAATGGGGGAGGAATGTGAACTCTCTAAGTAGCTGTCCTGGCCATCCACATGTGTGGTCCCTCCCCCAGCACAGCCGGCCCCATCTGCCTTTCTGAGCTCCAAGTCTCCAACAGGGTAGGCACCTTGCTTACAATAAGCCCAACTTCCCACTGAGGCATACATGCTGTCCCTTCCCAGGAGCCCACAGTCTCCCCTAAGCCCCTCTGCCTTCCCAGTGTTGGTGCACAAGGTCCTGCCTGGGCCTGCCTGTCCCCTCCAGCCCCTTAAGAGAGGTGTCTATTGATGTGTTGGTCCTTTCCTTTCTTCAGCCTGTTGCCTGAATCCCGGGTAGACGCATTCCAGATCTCCCTGGTTATCACACACTCTGTCCTGTAAAGTCATGTACGCTATAAACAGAAGACAACAGTCCGAGATTCCTCTCCCCTAGCCTCCCCGAACTAATTACAACTCCCCGGGCCTTTGTCCCTTCTTGGCAGATAATGCTGACCCTCTTGGTTAATGAATCCAAATAGTATAGAGTAACAGTTGTCTTTCCAAAGAAAAAAAATATTTAAAACAATATTTCAGTTGTGCTCATAAAGCTTCCTCGTCTTATTCAGTCCGATTCCTACCATATGGCAAGATAGGCATCCAGGACTGCATTTGATACTTAATGAAGTGGATTTCCCTGTCCTTACTAATGAGCTACTGCACTAAGAAAGTGCCTACTACATGGTGAGTTCCCGGGAAGGATTAACCTTCTACAATGGTACTAATGAGGATGGTGGGGAGCACAGGCTACTCCAGTTGTCCTAGGCTAAGCCATGTGCTCTTTTATTACCAAGACAAGCTATCTGGGTATGCAGAGAGCCCTTCAGCTATAACTTTTCCTAAATGGGTAGTGGGCTCCCTGATGAAGCTGAATGCAGCCAGCCTCTTCAGGTTTATAACTCATCCTCTTCCACAAGGGAAGAGCAACTCAGACATCTGCAGTACCCAGGTCTGTCATCAGAGGTAGCCTACAGCATTTTCAACTATCAGGACTGTGGGCAGAAAATGCCATGGACCTGCTAGGTGGAGCTGGCTGGGGCTGCAGACAGGATAGGGAAGCTGCAAAGGACTCTGGCATCACCAGAGTCCCTAAGATGCAGACTACACTGATACTTTGACAAAAGAATCCTAAAGTGTTGTGGAGTTTAAGAGGGATCTTGAACCTCAACTGCATCCCTGCATCCCTGCATCCCTGCATCCCTGCATCCCTGCATCCCTGAGTCTGCCATGTGCTTCCAAGCAACTTTGTATTTTGAGACTGTGTATACCTGGCTGGCTTAGAACTCCCGATGTAAACCAGGCTTTGAAACCACAGAGATACCACTTGCATCTGCCTCCCAAGTGCTGAGATTAAAGTGTGTGCACCACCCCCATCTGATCCCGCACAATTCTTATCAAGCACATTCAGATAGGAATAAGTTTTAAACTTTTATACCTTCTGTGTGACCAGGAATGTCAGCTGTTGGGCAGATGTGGAGTCCTCTAGAAGTCTGTCTGAAGACTCGAACCTGTAAGAAGAAAACTTGGACATCGACAGAAAATGGAGTTAGAACATTCCTTCATGGTCCTACCACCTGAAACATTCTTTGAGAGTACATGTCCTACTGGTGGCCCCTAGACCTTCTCAAGCATCTCAATTGATGGTCTTTATGTAAAGTACATCCTTGGTCCTACATGCAACTGCAGTAGAATGCTGAAGTTCCCCCCCCCTTTCTCCAAGCAGTAACAAAAAGAACATGTGAAATTGCTTACATAAAACATTCAAAACAGCACTCAGAGGAAATGGTGTTTCCTTTAAAACAACAATATTAAAATGCCGTAAAACAGGTATGCAAATCTATGCAGTAACAGAACCTGAAACAAATTGCAAGTCAAAAGAAAGCAGTAACTGGGTGGCATGCATTTTCAACAGGAGTTTTATGCAAGCATATAGATTTATCAAATTTGTAGTGCAAAAAAAGGCTGACTTTTCTAAATTGAATATGCAGTTAAGTGGGTACTAAACCTGACTATGCATTAGCATTAGCAGGGAGATTTTTTTTAATAAAAACTAAAAAATAACAGATTCCAAGCCTCCTCACAAATCTGCAGACTGAAGCTACATGACTGGGGCCCTGGAAATTCATGTCTCTCCCTCGTCTTCAGTAACCTGGTCCTCATGCCAACCTTGTGCCAATGAACACTGCCATACATTTAGAAACCCACATCCCTATTTGCCAGTTCATTCTCCCACTTGGCTGCTTTGAACTCTGACTGTTCTGCCGATTTTCTTAACAGTATGGAAACGATTGATTGTGAAAGCTAATTCTACCTCATCTAAGTGGTCTATCCACTTGGCTGCCTGTTCTCTTAATTTGATCAAAAAGGCTACGTCTGTTTGGTATATAAACATCTTTTTGAAATAAGAAGGGAAAATTTGTAGCTTTCTTTAGAAAAGTTTAAAAAAATAATCAACTACAGTTCAGGAAAAAAAAACTGGAGGTGACCATGAATTTGTGTAGATCTGTTTGTTTCCCATCTGGTCCTCGCCCTCCATGTGTAAACAGACCATGTGCATGGCTCTGTCCTCTCAGAATTCTTCACACCGACTGTGGTCATTTAATTGGGTGGTCCCCAGAGGTCTGTGATAACTTTTTTTCTCTCCAAGAGATTGAAAACACATGAAAGCAAAAGAATAAAATCAGTCTGGATCATTTTTTCATTGATTCTGCCCATCTCCCCAGTGGACAATACCGATTTATGTATTCAGAGAGGAGGGGACTTGCTTCTGCTGCCTGGGAAGGGGCTTACAGAATATGAGGTACCCAAGCTAGGCAGCAGAGTAGCTTGGCTTTATTGTCAAAATATTCAAATCATCAGGAAGAGAAAGCCATTCCTTTCTGCACTCAACAATACTTGGCCTCGGCGGACCCACAGAAGAGCTTATTCTTTAGCTGCATAGTGCGAGCAGAAGTGAAAAGGGGGGGCCCTGGCAGCGAGGGTTCAAGCCCGTCAGCCTTTCCCACCTGCCCACCCAGCACCGCCTCACAGACTGACACAGGGGAGAACCTGGAACAGGCACCGCAGGGCTCAGGGGACAATCCTGTGCATCAAGCAACCGGGTAACATGGCAGAGATGAGGCCCTCAGGACCCCCAAAGAAAAACAAACAAACAAACAAAAATCACCATCTCAGTTTGACAGAATGCCACTTGCAAAATTGCTATAAAATCAAACAATGCTAAGGCGGAGTTCCAGAGTTCCAGAAGAGCAAGAAAAATCACATTTTTCTAAGAAGGGAGTTTGGCAGGAGGTAAATGGAATTACATTAATTATTTTAAATGGATTTTTAATGCCACTCATGGACAACAAAAACGGAAGCTTCACCAATCTAGAGCGTATGATTTCTAGAATGTATTTCTATCTTCGTGGCATATTTATATTTTAGAATGGGCCTTTTCCCCAATTAATGAGCTGGGCTCACTGCTGGCTGAGCGTTCACCAAAACTCATATTGAACAAAGAGATTTCTTCCAGTTTCAGCTCGTTCACCTGGCTGGATTTAAGCAAATGCTGGAAAATTACTTTTTTTCCCTTTTTTTTTTAATATCTAAAGGTCTGAGTGAGAACTAATTGGGCAATGCCAGATACTGAAAAGCCTGCTCTAATTTTCAGTAAAACTCCTCTAGCTTAAAGGTATGTAGGGTTTGCTTAGGAAAGCCTCTCAGATATGACTTTTTTATTTTTTAAAAACCACGATCTCATATGCAAAGGGGCCCACCAATTTGGAAGCTTACAGACAAATAATTCTTATCACAGACAAATGGATGGTGAACAGTGAACTTCTGTCTTTGAAGAGACCACATTCTCTTCCATAGGATTTTTTTTTAAAGATGCTGTAAAGGGGCAGGCTGACCAAGGGTCACATGAAATTTTAATAGATTTGGGGACCTCATTATCTGGCCTCTGCTCTCTTATTTGAGCTAATCTCTGTATTCCCCATTCATGAAACTCAAGGTTTAAATACTTCCTGAGTTCAGTCGAGGCCCCCCAAATCGCTGTCTTCAAGCCTGAACTTCCTTATAAATCCTGGAAGAAAGCTCCCTTCCTGCTGTGCCCCTCATGGATCGTGAATCTTCCCCTCCAAACCTTCTAGTGGCTCCTGTCCACTGCCTACAAGTTAGCTGGTGACACCACTGTAGAGTCACAACTGCAAACACCTGGGTGCTCACCCTGTAACGGCCATGTGTTAAGTACTGAACACTCTGAAAACTCACAGCGGTGGGCTGAATTCCTCCTGTTTTACTTTTGGACAAATGAAGGCTTGGAAGTATGTTAGCTGGACTTGCCCTGCACGCAGCAAGCCCCTGAACTGGGTGTGTGATCTGAAGGGCTCTCCCTACACTCTGGCTTCTTGGCCTTTACACAATCAGAAATCCTACACTCACCTTAGATTTTTTTTAAACATGGTCATGTTGCACGGATTGTGTGTGCTTACTGCCTCTCAAATCCGCTTTCTTCTTTCATAGTTCCCTGCCGCTCAAGTGCCTTCCCTGCAGCCATTAAATCAGCATGGTGGGAAACTTGGGGGATTTTATTTCGTTTTGCCAACAGCGTCCCTCTCTAGCTTTTTTTAAACAGGTGGAAGGTTTCCAATCTTTCACATTTTCCCCCAGCTAAGAGCAGACAAGACCTGAAGTCTGTTAAACCTGTCACAGAAATCCTGCAGGACTCGGAGAGCGAGAGACTCTCCCCCCCCCCTTCCCCATATCACTGAAGACCCAGCTTAGAAAGGAAAAGGCGATCTGTCTGTGTAGCCAGGGGGCCCTGCCTGGCAGGGCTGGGGTGAGATCCCTGAGCAGACAGCTGCGTGGGAGCACCCATGCGAGGGAGGGAAGCTGACCTCCACCAGGGTTCCAGTCTCCACTCCCAGCCCTGTGACCGACAGCTGCAAGGCTTCAAGTCACCGCTACTGTGATATATGGAAGGGCAGAGAGTCAGTTCCCCACCTTCCAGGCGCCATGAAATCTCTACTTTGAAGGAAACGCTCTGCCCGTGTAAGCAAGGCGACTAAAACTAGTCTAGAGGGCATTCTTTAGGTTGCCGTTCTGGGGGCTGTAGTCTCAAGGGTGGTGGCTTTAGGAATCTCTCTGGTCTTCTACAGTGAGAGTCACATTTATGGGTGCCACCTCAGTAAGGCACCAAAAAGCGTCCTTGGAATTGTGCCTCCCCGTTAGACTAGGACCTGTAGGACTGAAACCAATCTGTCAAGAACAAACAACATAGGCTAACTGGGTTTGCAGAGAGAAGCATTGGGCACTGAAAGTATGGGGCAGTTGAGTGTTTTAGTGCCCTGAAGCAGATAGAGCAGGAAGACCCCAGACAGGAGGTTGTTGTTAGAGTGCCCTCACAGGGCTAACTCCTCTGATTCCTATGCAAATGCCTAGAAAGGGAAAGGCACATGGTGTTATTTTAAGGCCTTTATCTTCAACTCTGAATTGCTAAAAGCAAACAAACAAAAACCAGAGGGAAGTCTACTTGGAAGAGGCAAGAAGTAGGCCTGAGCAATTGTAGGCTGAGGTCCAGGAAACCGTATTTCCTAACCTAGATACGCTTCCTAGTCAACAAGCTGGGACAGGGAGTGGTCAGCTGATTTCCCTAAGATGAAAATGATGAGAGCTAGAGCCAAGGTACTTTGGGAGAGAAGAGATTCTGTCCCTGGTACAAAAAGAAAGAAAGAAAAAAATCCTCGAAACCAGATGGGTTGACTCAAAGATCCTTGAGGCACTAACAACATGTCTGAGTTTGAGGAAAGAGAACAGCATTCAGCCTCTGAGGTCAGTCATATCCTCCAAGCAAATTCCAGTTCAGCCTGCGGCTGGGTGTCTGAGACCTACAGAAGGGGTTTACAAAGGCCTTGCTAAAAACTGAAGAGGGTTTGGGATAAGCCAAGGTACACGGGCCACAATGGAATGTTTGGAATGGCAGAACCCTCAAGTAAGTTCTAAATCTAAAGGGTATGTGGAGAGTGTGAAGCTAACACAGGAGGACTCCCTTGTGAGACAGTGGTACGGCAGTATCGGCTGAGATGGTCTGCTCGGTCTAGAATCCAAACTCCAGCCCTCTGTTTGTACTCTGAGAACAAAGGGCAGGTCCTAAGCTGTACTCAAGAAGAGTGTGCAGAATGAACTACTGAAGGTTTTCAGCCAGAAAAGCAGTGTGTTCAGGTTTCTGTTACAAAAAGAGGCCACACCCTGCAGGTAGTGGATTCATCACTGCTATACATTAAAACAGGTAAGCATCAATTCTCATAGGGGGAAAAATGTTGCCACCACTACCAACCCAAAAAAAAAACCTGCCTACAAAAAAATGAACGGAACCATTGTGCAGTTTTTCTATAACACCATTTACAGAGTTCCTAGTGCTCTGTAACAACTCTCCTAGTCTTGTGTGAATCATAGCCAGCAGTTCCCCTACACACTCTGAATTGCATAGATGGGCCCAAATGAGAAGCATTTAGAGAAAACAACATAAAACGGCTGTGA